ACTAGTCACCTCCGTTGGTTGAAATTTGCATTTTTGAAGTCCAAAACTTCAGTCCTGCTATCTAATTTGTCTGCCTTGCAACAGACAGTGAACATGTTGATTTCATGGTTGCAGTCACTCAGGCTACCTTCTATTTTTATGTTAGTCACCAGGTCATCCCCCTTGGCCAGGGCCAAGTCTAGAAGAGCGTTACCTCTGGTTGGTTCATACACCTCCTGCATCAGGAAAAGCTCTTCAATGCAGGTTAGGAAGGAATGCAACTGATCCGACTTTGCTGAGTGTTCCTCCCAAGAGATATCTGGATAATTGAAGTCGCCCATGACAGTCATGTCATGTGCTCATGTGTACTCTAACTCAAGTTCCTCCCCACCTGGTTTGGTGGTCTGTAGTATATAACTACAATTAGGTTCCTCTCACCATGCACCCACCGCCTCCCCACCCCCTGCAGTTTGACCCAGAGGGTTTCAGGCCATCCTTCTTTGGAGCTAATGTCAGCCTCCAAGAAGGTGTACTGCTCCTTCATGTAGAGATCTACACCTCCACCTTTCTTCCCTACTCAGTCCCTTCTGTGCAGGATGTAGCCCTCCATGGCTACACTCCAATCATGTGAGGAGTCTCCCCAGGTCTCCATAATCCCTACTAGATCATAATGCCCACTGGAGAGCAGGAGGGATAACTCATCCTGCTTGTTCCCTATGCTCCTGGCATTATTGTACTGGCACCTGAGTCCTCCTTCTGAGGCCCTCGACTTCCTGTCATGCTGAAGGAGAACTATTCCCTCAGTTCCTGCAAGAGTGGCTCTCCTAGTGTCCCTATCTATGGAACCTTCTTGTGTGACAGTCCCTGGGCATGCTTGAATTAGTGTATCCCCATCCCCCAGAAATCTTAGTTTAAAACCCTGTCCAGAAGATTGGCCATCCTGGGCAAGAACAGGGACTTACCTTTCCATGCGAGGTGGATGCCATCCCTTCCCAGGAGTCCTCTCTCCCTCAAGTGCATGCTGTGGTCAAGGAATATGAAGCCCTCTCAGTAGCACCACCACCAGAGTCATCAGTTTACTTCCTCGATACATCCTTCCCTCCTAGAACCGTGGCCTGCAACAGGGAGCACAAAAGAAAAAACTACCTGGGCATCTGACCCCTTAAGCCCAGCCTCCAGAGCCCTGTAGTCACTCCTGAACTGGTCTGGATTACTCCTGGCCATGTCATTTGTTCCCACATGGATGAGAGCTCATCGAACGACCTTTAGTTAAAACACGCCCACCACCATCTTGAAGCGTACGATGCTGAATACCTGAGATGCTGCCGGTGTTTTAATTAGAACAGCCCACAAGGGTCACTCTAATCAAAGTGCCCCTCACCCCCACCCCAGAGCACATGTAAAGATGCCCCTAATGTCCCAAGAATAAAAAACAACTAAAACTTAGTGGACTAGAGTGTCTGGGAAACCCTCCTAAGGAACTCACCAGACAAACTATTTTGAGTTAAGTCAAAGACAGACAAACAAAAGGAGAGCCATGCTTGAAACTTGCCTAGAAACGCTGCTTGGAAAGTCAGTTGGCATGATAAGGTATGGGCATCAACATGCTGGGATAAAACGTACTAACTCTGCTTGCTCAGTATGATTGCTGTTCAGTGTCCCTCCTCAGGACATGTTTCTTATTCACAGCATATTACATTCCTGACACTCAATAGTCCAAAAATAAAATCTTCTAATGTATGTGTTACTTCTGTTTGAAACCCTACAAGCCAATATACCCTCCAAGCAAAACTATGCTTTCTTCTGAATCAGACAGCTCTTGAAAAATCTAGGCCAAAATATTACATAATAAATATGATAAACACAGCCAAACTTCCTTTGTTCTTCAGGGAAGTTTTCCTTCTCATAGCTAATTAATAAAAATGTGCTATGTATTATAGATTTCTGACCACTGAAAAATATAGAAGCTCCCTTGGGAATTAGAAGAGCATTGAAACACCGTTAAGAGAACTTAGTGTGGAATTCAAGGTGATATTTTTCATCCATGCCCTGCAGGGACATTTTACTTTTCAGTGGTCAGTAACGTGTCCAGTATGTATTGAAGAGACAGAAGGGAAAGGTAAAAGTTGAGCCTTTATCCTATTATTCCAAGTAGTCTTGTCAATAAAATATTCATTGCTTTCCTAGCAGGATTTCCCAAGCCAATACAATTTATTTATATGGTCCTATTACAAAAATAATTATTTCATGAAAACTTATGGTCTTTCTTATTTGGAACATATTTTCTGTTGATTTTAAGGTCTCACTTCTGGCAAAAAAAACCTTTCAAGTAAGAGGTTTCCACTTGAGGTTTCCATTTATGGCAGCTGTGCAATATATCCAAACAAAGTTTTCATTTATCCACAGTTCGAAAAGATCACAGCAGCGGATTTTACTTCAGCAGTTGGCAGGGAGAGAGGGAGATGAACCACCAAGAATCTGCACCACTAGAATAATTTCAGAAACTTAACAGAAGTCTGCTTCATATCAATATTACACTGAGTGCCAAACATTCTGCAATTCTACAGTTTGCCATATCCAAAGGAAGAACTCATAGTAATTGTGCAGCCCAAAGACAAATTAAACCATTAAACAAATGTAAACAAGATGTCAAAATAAAACAGAGAGAAAATAAAAGACACAGGGAAATGTTAAAAAGATATAAATAAAACCATGAGAGAAACAGAGTGCACATTTCATTTCTGGCACTTATGAGCCCTAAGGTATTTCATTCACTAAGCGCTGCTTCCCGATGACTGATGCTCTCTTCAGGATTTTTATTCCTGTTGTGATGTAACCCCTTAGATACCAATATTCAAACTGTATGAAAGGAACAGACGAAAAAGTTCTTACTGAGGCTATGAGCAGGATAGCAGCATCTGTAAACTTAAGCAGGAACTATGTCAAAAAACCATGACGGTTCCTTTGCATCAACATGAAGTGATAGTGAATATCATAATTATGGTTTTTTTCCTGGATTGTTTCTTTCAACAGATAGTATAATGGGGAAATCTGCCCTGAAAGAGATCAGATTCCATCTGATGAGATTAGAATAACTGACTGAAGCACAGAGGACACTTGGTTGAATTTGGTATTGGTTTGTTAAACTATGAATCTGAGCATGTTCAAAGTAATATTTGCTTTTTTCCATTTCACTCTTACTAGGTTGTCTCTAGATGGTATGTTCTATTGCAGGTTTTTAAACAAAGTTTCATCCAGTTTGCCAGATTTAGTGCTCATATCCACTTTGTTATTTCCTAAAGTATACCATGTCTCTGGCTATAAGTCATTGCCACATCCATACATATTCCCTACAGAAAGAATAATTAATTTCAAGAATCTATTTTCCCCTGCTCCCTTCCCCCTCCTCTCCCCTGCTTTACCTTTTGTCTTTCTTATCTCTACCTATTTTGCATTTTCACTGACATCTTACCACACTTTTAGCTTCTCTTATTCCTTGGAGTCTCAGACAAGCAGAGACTTCCTATGCCTGATGAAGGGTGACTGCACCCGAAAGCTTGCTAAATACTTTTTTCCAACTACTCAATTGGTCTAATGAAAGATACACACCTAACCAAAGAACTTTTCCTGCCTCTGTCCTTAGACAAACATGGCTACAACCAAACCTCAAGAACCGTATAGAGCAGACAGGATTTGAAGAGAATGTTTGCATCTCTTCTGGTCGGACATATACCTTGAATGTAGTTAGGGTCACTGAAATATTGCTACGGTACCTGTGGCAAAGTGGGGCTCCCCGCCTAGCCACAGTGCTAGGTTCCCCACTTGTCTTTGGGCATGCCCCCCACCTGACTCTCCTGCCATGCCTTGTTCTTAATTAATGAGGATGTTAATTAGGTGGGAGGCTGCCAATTTTATGCCCTGATGCCAGGGGGCGCTATCTGCAGCTCCATACCTCCCCTACACCACAGGCCATGCCTCGCAGATGGCATCCAGATGTTACCGTGCTCCCGGCCTACCACCGGAGCAAGCTTAGGCCACACTGTCAGGCCTCAGTCACACACACATTCATACCGCCCTCCTCTCACTCGGGCCTCACACACTCCACCCTCTCTCACAGGGTCCCTTTCATCCATCAACAACTTATTCTGCCTTGCTCCCTCTTGGAGCGGGCCCCTTAGGCCATAGGCTTGGCTAGTCCATCCCTTGGGTGGCAGACATACCATCTTTTGGGCCCCTCCCACAACCCTCCCCAAGGTAGCGGTCAGCCAATTACCTGACTGGGTCTAAGCTTACTCTGGCCCCTTCCGGGGGCAACTCTATACATATAAATATACTGGGTACTCAGCCCTCTGGTTTTCCTTCCCCCTCCACTGGGGCTCTTCATCTCTGCCCCTTTCTGGGGCCACCCCTCACCAGAGTGTTCTTATCCCCTCACTCGGGGCTCCACACCACCCCCTTCACTCAGGGATATTCATCTCTGCCCCCTCGCTTCAGGCTACTCACTGCCCCCTCACTTGGGGCTACTCATCCCGGCCCCCTTCACTTAGGGCTCCACACCACCCCCTCCCTGGGGCTCCAGATCTCCACCCCCCTCACCTGGGGCTACCCCCACACTGGGGTCATTTCCACCCCCCTCACTGGGGCTCTATACCGCCCCCTCACTTGGGGCCACAGGGTTTCGCTCCCCGGTGGGCTCAGGTGACCATAGCCATGCCTGTCCCCCACTCTACCTCCTCAGGGTCTCTTGGGATCTTGCACCTCACACAGGGCTCAGGTGGCTGCAGCTGTGCTTGGCCCCCACTCTCCCTCCTTGGGGTCTTGCACCTGACAGGACTCAGGTGGCCACAGCCATGCATGGCCCCCACTCTCCTTCCTCAGGGTCTTTCACCCCACAGAGCTCAGATAGCCACAGCTGTGCCTGGCCCCAACTGCCTCCGGTGTCACACAACCCACCCGAAGGTGAGGGCTAGGGTTAAAGCACCCCTACCAGCCTTTCACCAGGGTGATAACAGGCCTGGCATTTCCTGGGGGCTCCCACACCACTGAGATCCCCAGCAGGCCACCCACTCCCGGCAGGGTGCAGTTTTAGGTCATGCCCAGGACCAGGAGCCTCTTAACCATCCCCTACAGCTCCTCCCTTACCTCCAGGATAATACACGGAGCCTCACAGGCAGGCAATGTTACTGCCTTCCCAGCCAGCAGGGAACTGAGCTGTTTATATAGGCAGACAGGGATCTAAAATGGCTGCCTCAGTCAAGCAACTGCTGGCTGCTTGGCTCTGGTCATAAAGTGGTAGGTACCCACAGTGCCCTGCCACACATCTTCCCCCTTTAAATGGTACCAAGGGAAGGTTTCCCCAGCTGCTGCTCTAAAACAGACTCCCTTCAGAACCTCTGAGAGCCCTCAAGTGGCAAGCACCCCCAAAAGGTACTCTGCCAGACACCTCCCCCCTTAGAATGAGATCTGGGGAGCTGCACTTGGCTGCCTTCCCTGCTGGGCTCAGCCCCTGCCTATTGCAGCCCCTACCATGTGGTGAGCACCCTGAAGGTGCTCTGCCACGGTACCCTTAACCACAAAAGGAATGGCATTGTTTTGTTTTGTTTTTAAGGGAATCTCACTGGAGGGCAAGCTGCCAACACAAAAGGAGGCAGATACATCTAATTAGCTCAAAAAGATGAAGCGTATAAGTGAATGTCATGGGAAATTACAAATTGGTGTGCTGGCTGGGAAACAGGGAAAAGGTGTGACACTGGAGGCCGATGTAGAAATGGAAGTGAACCTGGCATCCCAAGTTGGCCTATTAGGCCAACACTATATGCTGTCACCAAAGTGTTAGAAGTCCAACAGCAGCAGGCCATACAGCAACAAGAATGGATGAGACAAAATTGGGCATCTTTTTGGATGCACAAAATGACGAAAGAAGATGACACAGAGGCTTACATAGACTCCTTCAAGAGAACGGCAATACAAATGGGGCTAGATAGAATTCTGTGGGCTAGTCAGTTGGGATCCCTGTTATTGAGGAAAGTGCAAGCCACATACTGTGCCCTTCCTAGGGACAACACCTACAATTATGACAAATTGAAAGCCATCATATTGCACCA